CTTCTTCTTCTTCTTCTTCTTCTTCTTCTTCTTCTTCTTCTTCTTCTTCTTCTGTGCGTCATTTACTCTTTTTGCTCCCTTTGAGTCTTTGGTTTCTGGTTCATCGGATACACCATGGCCAACGTCAAAACAAGTCGTTTGCCATGGTCGCTCTTTTCTATACTTAAGTAGATGCTTTACGTTTCCAATGAAAAGTTTAGATCATTTAGGAGGCCGGCTTCGATCCTGCCCGCCGTCAGGGCCAACCAGGTCTGTCAAGAATACAACGTTCAAACAAAAAGGCGGAGATGTGACACTCGATAATAATCCTTCCCAAACAGGAATTGAGCTTGATATTAATACTATTATGTTGTGCAATGGCGAGGCGCCTTTCCGCTACCCCATAGACGCTAGAGCCATGTAGCCGTAAAACGTACCACATCCAAAATCACACACAAGGATGGAATCAGATAAGAGACTGCAGGACAACAATCTTTATGAACTCGCCGAGAGCGTTTTGCTGTTAGATACTGGGCTTTTTACTCACGCCGTTGTGTTATTTAAGACTGCCATCTCTGTCTTGCAAACAAAAGACACACGTTCGATTCCCGCGTGGGGACTTTTATCAATCGAGTGTCATTGTCATTGTCTGTTTGCTCGAATTGTGTAACCCACTGAGTCCGAGTTAAATATCGATGGGGACGTAAAACACTTGCAGTTGCAAGTGCTATGGTTAACACGGCCATAAAAAGGAGAATATGTAGCTATTTGGGACATGAATACATTGGTAAGTGTTTTACTGCATAATAAGGTCATACTATGAGCGCGCGGGACACATTAACATTTTCAGTTTGGTAGGAATTAATTTTGAATTTTGTCCAAGTGGCGACCGAAGCCCACTCTTATAGATTTGGGACTACAAAGAAAGTGGAGACGAAAGCAGACGACAGAACATGGTTAGAAAGCAGGAGACGAAAAATTGTCCGTCGCTGTCAGGTTTCGAACCCGGGACCTATTGAGTGAGAGGCGAACATCGAAATCTCTAGACCGCGAGAGACCCCTGAGCATTTTATGAGAATGCCACAGACAAGATTATCCTATCAGACATGATACTGGAGATCAAATGGAAAAAGTGGAAGAGGTAGACTAGCTGACAGTTACAAAAGCATAAGGTAATCACTCATGGCCTGGATGTACCATGTTACGCTAGAAGATGTGGCCAGGGACTGACATACGTGGCGTCGACTGCTTTCTGCCTTATGTACCTGACGGTACAGGAAGGGTGAGTAAGTAAATAAAATTAAATATTGTAGACTATTTACTTCTACTCGTTAAGGTCTTTGGAGATTAACGGACGCCATACATGACTCCTGAATAGTCACTTCACTACCAGTAGCCTTTTGAACATACCGCTCTACTGAGGCCAAATCTTGACAGACAATACTGAAACCATGTCCTAGACATACAGACAAATCAAGCACCAGTTAGATTCTTCACAAATGCCAGTATAAATTTAAGTCGTTTCAAGTACCGAATACTGTCAGCCCCCCTCACGGCACTAAATTGAAAGTGGAACTATTTCCAGGAAGAAGAGGTAGATTTGGAACTTATCTCACTTGGATCCGAAGCTTGAACAGTACATTGTAGGTCCACTGTATGTTGATTCGAGTGTTGTATGTAACACTCCAGGATAAAAAGCTACGACTTTTACGTTTACATTCCGTGGATAAATAGCATAGTCATCGACCAGATGTTCACTAATAAGCGCTATAATTATTCGAAGCAAGATGAAATTTCCTTCAGGAGTAAGCCTTTTCTTTTTTAAAAAAAAGTAATCACCGCCTGGAAATCGGTCACTACCAAGTTCACGTTGTGAACAGTATGCACTAAATGGTTTGTCCCTTTTTATATGAGAAGTACGACATGTAACATGACCGAGCCTGCATTGTATGAAAAGAGGATGGGGCCTAGTCCCAGGTCCAGACCAAGTGTTTAACTCTTCTTCATCTCTAAGAGGTCTGTACACGTCAACAAATTCTTATATAATATTGGAGACAACTCATTAACTCTTAAAGAGTTTCCTTTCCCCGATGATGTGTAAGGATAAGGCCATACCTAGACCCGGACTATAGTTTGTGATAGGCGTATAATTACCATGGTGGCTGTGGTTTGCCCTTGAATTAATGCGTCTCGTTATGAAAGAGACTTCCCGGTTACAATTCAGGATTCTGGAAACGGACTTGAAAACTCGACAGTTATGACCATGAGCTCACTATTGTAAATAAATTGTAATGATGTAGATCATTTGCATAGAACCTACTTCGTGTGCACACAACCCTTGGCAATGTACATAATTCAAAGTATGGTGCAAATTATTCATGATTGAACAATAACTGAAAATAATTATTTGCTCATATGCACACACACACAGTAGAAACGATACATACATACATACACTCACAAACATACACACACACACACACACACACACACACACACACACACACACACACACACACACACACACACACACACACTCTCTCTCTCTCTCTCTCTCTCTCTCTCTCTCTCTCCCTCTCTCTATCTCTCGCTCTCTCTCACACACACACACACCCATTCACTTACTCACTCACACATTCACTCACTCACTCACTCACTCACTCACTCACTCACTCACTCACTCACTCACTCACTCACTCACTCACTCACTCACTCACTCACTTACTCACTCACTCACTCAAACACATACATCATCATCCCTCTCGTCACACACTCACGCATATGTTGCTCCAGTCATACACTTGTGTTATACAATCCTAGGTTGTGCACCTTGATGTGTTTCGGAACAAAACTTTGATAATCCCCAGAGGAGGGAACTCTTTCAATATTTGATAAAATAAAGGATATTCTTCCACCCTGACAGGTTTGTCGTAACCTGACATATGTCATGAAGAACAATAGGTTCACTGTCATTCAGAAACGAGGTAATATGAACACAATCTACCCGAAGACTTGCTTTCAGGTTAGAAAGTGGCGCCCTCCCTGTGGAACTTAACTTTGTTGTTGTCATCGAACCTGGGGTTATTAAGAAAGGTATCCACTTCGTTGGGAAAATGGTGTCAGAGAAAGACGAAGAGGGTGACTTCGAGTATCTTATCTGAGAAAATATAAAAAGATTGCCAATGCTTTCATTTATTCACCCATGGAAGATTTGGCTATTGTAAAATGAGAGTAGGTCTTCCTCCTCCGACTCAAGGTTAAACAAAGAGATCAAACAGCTCTTAAAAAGTTGTCGTTAAAATGGACAACCCTGGCATCCTTTAATGTTTTATTGTCGTTGAAGTCCCCAGTATGTTTGAATTTCATATACATGTACTTCATTTAAAAGAGCAAACAAAGGACAACATTTGAAGCTTTTTTTTATAAAGAGACAATTTTGAGTTACAGTTTAGATCTGCAGACTTAATTTCCTATAGCTGTTTTGATTTGGCAGTGCTACGTGCATAACACCCCCCCCCCCAACCTTTCAGAACACTATGTCTGTCAGGCCCTTTGAGGTGGTGGATCTCCGACATTACGTCCTTGTCTGTCAAATGAAACCCTCTCTCAAACAGCCCATGTTCAAGAACACATTTGTTACCTGGATTTGAAACAAGAGTTCATCACTCAGAAATAAATAGTGATAATTGCTTAGCAAATATATCACTTATTCATGAATGCTGTGCACTCGCCAATTAATCTAGACGTTAATAGACTCAGAAACTAACACGGAAAAGAATACTTTAAACCTTTCTTTATCGCTGCAAACTTGACTTGTAATTAGAGGAACCATTGAGATCTGTTTTAAAATAAGGGAAGATTTCAAGTCAACACGTACCCGCATGTGTGCACAAAAGCGTACTAGTTTAAAGAACTACCTCTAATTGGTCACTGTTTTCTATAGTTTCAAGTGTGTATGAAATGCACGTTTCCACCT